GTTCTGAGGGGGCAGAAAGTGGGAGGGAGTGGAAGGGGCAGGGGCGGGGCTAGGACAGGACGGGGGCGGGGCTCCTCCCGTCCTCTTTTTTGATTGTTGAAATATGGTAACCCTATTGTTACAAGGAGGAGGGAGAATAGGACAAGAACCAATGGGCTTAAATTGCAGCAAGGGAGGTTTAGGTTGGACATTAGGAAAAACTTCCTGTCAGGGTCATTAAGCACTGGAATAAATTGCCTAAGGACGGGAATCTCCATCAGTGGAGATTTTTAAGAGTGGGTTGGACAAATACGTGTCAGGAATGGTCTAGATCAGTGGGTCTCAAACTTTTTTACTGGCGACCCCTTTCCCATCACAAGCCTCTGAGTGCAACCCCCTAATAAATTAAGCACACGTTTAAATATATTTAACACCATTATAAATGCTGGAGGCAAGCAGGGTTTGGGATGGTGGTTGACAGCTCACAACCCCTCATGTAATGACCTCGTGACCCCTGAGGGGTCCCTCCCCCAGTTTGAGAACCCCTGGTCTAGCTAATACTTTCTCCTGCCATGAGTGCAGGGGACAAACTGCTAACTGTAGGAATTTGCAAGATCAGCTAGCAGGCTCCCTTCCCAGAGTGGCTCCAGGCCAGCCCCCGCCTCCTAGCCGCGCGCTCTTGGCCCTGCCTCCTCCCCGGGTTGTGGGTGTGGCCTACGCGGTGCCGAGCGTTTCCTTGTCGGGGGTGGGAGGGCGTTTGCTTAGGCGCGTGCGCGGGGTCGGCATGGCGGAGGCGCAGCCGGGCTCAGGTAGGGCTCACGCGGGTCTTGGCTGTGACAGAGCTCCCCGGGGAAGGGGACTGCGGCTCAGGGACCTGCCCGCCTTTAGAGCCTGCTCGCAGCGGAGTCTGGGGGCTGAACCGCCCCCCGGCGGGAACCCAGCTCGGCTGGCACGCGGCCCCGTGCGCGGCGCGAGCTCATGGCAGGGGTGGTTTGTTCGCGCGGGCACCAGCGAAGCCGCCTCCCTATATCTGTGCAAGCAGCAGCCTGCTCCGGGCAGGGCCCTTCCCCCCTCCACGCCGGGCCTTGCGCCCCGCCGCTGGGAGAGAAAGAAATGATCTTGGCAAAGCTATAGGGGGACAGTGATTTGGTCTTCTAGAGCAATTTCTATGCCCTTCAGCTCGCTTCACAGCTCCTGCCAGCCATTTTTTCCCTAATAAAAATTGTAGTCAACTTGGGGAAAAAGTGAGGAAAATTAATTGTAATTTTGCTGTACTCCAATATCCTATCGGTGGGCACAAAGTATGATTTCACCATGTAATAATATAAGCAAAGACAAACAAATGCAGAAAGTTCAGGAACACAATTATAAAACTGAGTATTTCAAAGTCAGGAATCTTCAGTCCTTATTCTTACAGCAAGCTTCCTGCATAAGGCAGTCCCTCTTCCTGATGGGATAAACAGTTGTTTCTAGATCTAGTAAGTAGTGAGGTATTAATGGAGGCCACTAAAATTCATTTTTAAATATTTATTATCTGGGAATTTTATCTATATGAGGGTGTGTGTGTGGTGGTGGGTGGGAGGAGCAGGCCCTGGGGGTGGGCCAGAGGTTGGGGGTGTATTGCAGAGGGAGACTGATTCATCCTCACCACACAGCAGGAGATCCTGACCCATGGGACTGGGCCCAGCTCTCCGCTTTTACTCTTGGGGGGGATTCTGCCTGCCTGCAGAAAACCCTCCCCACCCTGGAATTTCTGTGCTTCCATGCAGAAAACAACAGAGAAGCAAAGGGAATGACCATGGGTGCAGTTTTTTTTCAGGGGGAGGTTGCCCCCTCAACAGAGGTGAGGTATGGGGTTACATGCCACTGCGCCCCCCCCCCCTCATTTCTGCAAGCCCAGAGCTGCCAAGCTGAAGGAGGCTGACTCTGCAGCTGGACGCTGCCTCTTAGGTCCTAGTGCCAGTGGTGTTCCCCTTCTGTATGCTGGGAGCCTTCCTGTTTTCTGTGCAACAGTGAGTGCCAGTGGTGGGGGTGGGGAGAAGATGTGGGGAAAGAAGGAGGGTGGAATAGAGCCGGGGAGGGGAATGGAGAAGAAAAGGGGATAGGGGTAATGGCTGGGGGAAGCAGGAGCCCAGCATGTGGCATCTCCTCGTCAACAGCTGGGGCTCCCTCGTTAAGCAGGCCCATCAAACCCTCACCCTGACAAGCCCTACCCCTCTACACTTGGACCCCTCCACTGAGCCCTAAGCAGCTGCACCAGGACCCCCACCTTATCAAGCCCTACTTCTGCAGCACCCAGGAGCCCCATCTCCCCACTCCCAGCCTCTCCCCTCCCCCCCCAAGCCCCAACCACCTTTACCTGGATCCCATGCAGAGTCCCATTGCCCCTGCAGCCGGACCCCCCACCAATGAACCCCTGTACATCCAGATCTCCCACTGAGCTGCCTGCACCCAGATTGCCCCACACAGAAACCTCTCACCCCACACTAAGCCCCTCCACACTTGGATCCTGCTAGGCTGAGCCAGCCCAACCACACCTGGTCCAGAGAGGCAGGGCCCCAGGGTGTTTCTGGGGCAGGCCCAGACCTGTGTCAGGGTCAGGTGCAGCCTCACTGCCAAGTCCCTGTACCCTGGGGCTTCAGGGTGATCTCCCACCTCAATACAGCCAGTGGCCTATGCTCCCTTCTGCCATGCTGGAGCCACATTTATTGACAAAATTCGCAGAATTTTAAAATATTGTGTGCATAATTTTTATTTTTTTGGTGCAGAATTCCCTCAGGAGTACTGCTTTGCAACTTGGGCTTTTCAGTCTGGTACAGACGGGTATAACACAATTGAATGGCTGAAGTTGAAGCTAGACAACTTCAGACTGGAAATAAGATGTATATTTTTAACAGGGCAGGTAATTGTTACAATGGTTAGTGTCGATTCTCCTTCACTGACAACTTTTAAATAAAATTGGATGCTTTTCTGAAAGGTATGCTCTAGGAATCTTATCGACATTGCCTTGCCTTGCCTATGTTATACAGGAGGTTAGACTAGATGATCACAGTGGTCCCTTTGGTCTTGGAATCTATGAATGTGTGGGGTGAGTTTATTTTATTTCATATTAGGCCTTATTTTTAAGCTTTGTATGGAAGAGTTATATTGTAGATTCTGAAAATATTAGTTATTTCTCTCCCTTTACATTTAATATTATGTTGCAAGTAAGTAGTTAGGTTGCTGTCATATGGTCATATAATGAAAGACTCTGGTAAAGCTCAAAATATTAAGATCTTTAAGCTAACATTCAAAAGTTTATATATTGGGTGTTTATCTGAAGTAGCCTAACACTTTATCCATGTTCTGATCGTTAGCAGTATTTGGAGGAGAAAAACCAACTATGATTCTACTGTAATGTTGCTCTTACATTAGATGTCTCTGGGAAGTGTACTAAGACAAGGTCCAACAAGTGGACTGCATTTCCCCCTATTCTCCCTAGGAGTTGCTAGCGAAAAAACAAACTTTTTTCAATATACATATGGGGAATATGATCTTCCTTTCTTCCTTCTATTTTTTCCCCAGTTGCTGCTGCTGTTATGGAATGGCTAGGCTAAAGTAGTGAGTCTTATATTTTGTTCAGAAGGTGGTGGGGTCTTGTGATCATTCTCACTTTCAGAATATGGTTCCTTGGTCTTAGATCAGTTGTTGAGAAAACTATAGCCCCTGGTTTCATGAGACTTAGCCTTAATGTTGACAGATTTATGGTTCCTGTGTAACTCATTTGTTGAGGGAGGCCTTGGGGAAAGGTACTTTCTTAACTTGTTCCGGTTCCTTGGAGGACTTTAAAAGTGAAGATGGCTATCTTGAAATTAACCTGGTTCTGTTATGTGCCAGTGAATGAGCAGGGGGTGATGTACTGCTGGTGGCTGGTGCTGCTGAGTTTTGAACTGGATAGAGTTTTCTTTAAGGTCAGACATTTACAGTCTATTACAGTGAGTTCCAAACTGTATTACTGCATCACTGTCATGAGGTCATCATACAACAGTAGGTGCACCATCTTCTTGCTAACTGCAGGAGACAGGAGGTGTTTTTGGAAGTTGTGGATGTGAGTGGCCAGAATTAATGAGTTGTTCAGAAGAAGCCCCAGTTTATGGCCTGACTTCACTATTGAGTGTAGACTCCCTCAGAGATGTGATGGTGGCAGCTAGGTCTTCCTACGTTCAGTTTTTGTCCCCTTGCTAATCTCCTTCAGATATTGAGGTAACTGAAGGATAGCATTATTAGCATCAGAAGTGAGGAACATGCTGTTTATTACCTGTATGCTATTGACATTGTAGACCATGTGTTGTGATTTTTCTAAGTGGCTCCATATAGTTGTCAAATGGAATGAGTAATAGTGGCATCCAGAAAGAGTACTCTGGCAGAAGAGAAGCAATTGCCCATCACTGCTTTGCATGCTGTGGTCAGATGTTCAGCTGTGCGTGGAGGTTCTTTCTGCCCAGATAGCCCATAGAGCAGACTCCGATCGAACTGCCCAATAAGACCACAAGACTTGGTTTATTAGTGAAGGCACCCAACCAGGTTTTCCAGCTTAATGGTTACAGGTATACTAACACGTGTATTACCATGACAATGGACCGGTTCAGTCACTGGTGGGACTTACCACTGCATCCTAGGCAAGATGAAGGGTTAAAGTGCGGTATCCCAACCTTGTAGACTGAGACAAACAATCTGGGATAAACAACTTATGTATCACCTTACATGTTCCATGACATGTTTGTTACCTCCCCTTGTACTTTTCTCCTGATGTTTCAGACAAAACATCCCTATTCACCACCTGTCTTTGTAGTTTTACTCCTGATGTTTCAGATAAAATATCACAATTCATCACTTTTATCAAACGATTTTATCGTATGCTAGGTTGGGGTGTTCTTGTGCTGGCCTGCTGGAATGTGTTTACATATTCGGTGTTGTGACTGGGGTCCCAGGGAGCCATACTGAAGTTACTCAGTTAGGGTAAACTGCAAAGAATGGGGCAGACAATCCCCAAAGCCAGTGGATATTCCAATACTTAAATTTTACTAAGCCAGCACAAAACAGCTTCTATAATACCCTACTGGTAACCAAGAAGCCAACAACACAGTTCCCTTAAAGCAGGAGTGGAGAACCGTTTTTCTATCGGGGGCCCACTGACCCACAAAAAAATCAGTCGCGGGCCACACAGAGCCCCCCCTCCCCATCTAAAATGATAGTACCATAGAGTAACAACTATATTTGTTTGCTCAAACATGAACATTTAAGAATAGTCCAGAAGGAAGACAGGCAGTCCTTAAGAAAGTAGTATGAAATAAAAAAGTTTACCAATCTGAAGATCCTACATGTTCCTTTCATCATCTTCAACGCAGCTTCCTCCTGAGAAGGAACACTTCTCATGATGTTCATAGAATATCAGGGTTGGAAAGGACCTCAGGAGGTCATCTAGTCCAACCCCCTGCTCAAAGCAGGATCAAACAATGTTGTTTCATTCGGGCAACCAGGCCTTGCATTTCTTTGTTGCACTTTTTGCATTTTGCACACATGCCTGTCTTACCCACAGGTAGAGGAACTTCATTAAAATATTCCCAAACTGGGTCTCTTTTATGGCCTGCTGCCATTACAGGTTTTCCCTTCTAGTGAGAGAATGGTATGGTAGATCTCAAATCAATGAAGGCTATACTCAAAGACCTCAAGACTTCTGGAATATGCTGCTCAAACAGTTTCACTTTTGTTTCTACTGCCTGTCCCTCCCTTCTCACACTTCTCTCCAGACTTCTTCTCCTTGTCCAGATCTATTCCGCCCCCAACAATCTTCTATTCATTGAACTTTTTAAAACTTTGCACTTTTAGAGAGGTAAGTGATTGCAAATTTGTGTACAGAGAGTCAGAGGGACAACAGGGTTGAGGTCTGTTATTTCTCTCCTCTATATATTATTTATTTATTTAAACACATTTTTGCTGTTAACAAGCATGTTATCTCTGGAGACACAAATCCACAGTTTGAGAACTGCAAAACTAAGCACCTCTGATGGTATCTTCTAGACTGAGCACTGAGTCCCATTGGATAGATAGAAAGATTAACCTAAATAATCTATATAGAAGCCCCTGAAACCCCATAAGATTGGGTCCCTAAATCCATAAACTATTGGAACTCATTTACAAAACTTTTCTTAAACATTACATGAATATATTGTTTCATACTATAGAATTAGAATTTATAATCCCTATTCCATGATGAGATATCTTTGAGCTATAATGTATCCTAATTAAAGCTATCTTTAGATAGGGTTTTTCCTCAAAAATCCGATTTAAATACCACCCCCTTTTTTTAAAAATCATTGATTTTTATCCACCCTGGTAAATACACAAAAACACAAACATTATCTCCTCATAGGTTTTTTGAGGGTTATTTATTTTGCAGGCTGTTTAACACTTTATAGCCATGTGTCACACTAGTCTGTAGAACCAGTTCCCACTCACACAGAGGGAAGGACTTCTACGCCAAGTACTTCCTGATACCGAAGAAGAATGGTGGTTGGAGACCCATTCTGGATCTAAGATCGCTGAAGAGATCTGTTATGACACAAAGCTTCAAGATGGTTACTTTTGCAGCAATAATCCCGTCTCTGGACCAGCGGAACTGGTTCTTGGTCCTCGACATACAAGATACTTACGCATATCGCGATCCATCCGTCCCATAGAAGCTTTCTACAGTTCGATCTGGTGCAGGATCACTTTCAATACAAGATGCTCCCATTTGGTCTATCATCCGCACCAAGAGTATTCTCAAAGGTCCTTTCTGTGGCAGCGGTGCACCTTCGCACAAAAGGAATTATGATATTCCCATATCTAAACGATTGGCTTCTCAAAGCACACTCCTTCGATTTGAGGGCCACACAAAAGACGATGGACTTATTCCTTCAGCTGGGACTATAGGTAAATATCCACAAGCCCACAGTAGTGCCAGTACAACATCTGGAATTCATAGGAGCCTACCTTGAAGCGGTAGTGGCCAAAGTATGCCTTCCGTCACAAAGATTCAACACCTTAGCCAACTTAATCTCAACGATCCAGGCCAGCCCTAAGACTTCTGCCAGAAATGGCCTTCATCTACTGGGACATATGGCAGCAGGCACCTTTGTAATAAATCATGCAAGACTTCACATGAGCTGCCTTCAAGGATGGCTCAGAACAGTATATGTACCAAGCAAACACAGCTGAAACAAATTTCTGTTGATGCCCTCAGCTGTGAAAAACTCCCTTGACTGGTGGAAAGAACCTCACAATATCTGTTTAGAGGTTCCCTTCACTCAACCACCCCCAACATGACAACAGATGCATCCCTATTTGGATGGGAAGCCAACATGGACACCCACACTATTCAAGGCAAATGCTCCCCTCTCAAATTCACACATCATCTCAACTTACTAGAACTCTGAGCAGTCAGAAATGCCTGCTCATATTTCTTGCCACTGATCAGGGGCAAGCATATAGAGATCAATAGTCAAAAATCTCATGTATGTTTCACATAAACCATGAGGGAGGAGCAAGATCACCTTCCCTGTGTGGTGGGGCAGTGAAACTCTGGAATTGGTGCATTCGCCACCACATCAGCATCTCAGCAGCTTACCTCCCAGGCATACAGAACACTGCAGTGGACACTCTCCGAGGGAATTTTTCTCAGGCTTATGAATGGGAAATAGACCTTCCATTCTCCACAGCATATTTCTACATTGGGGAGTCCCCAAAGATAAGTTTATTCACCACAACCAAGAAAAAGGAGTGCTTGCAGTTCTGCTCCAGGGCCAACTTGGGCATCACTCACTCAGAGATGCCTTTCTCCTACACTGGAAAACAAGTCTCTTCTATGACTTTCTGCCAGTTCCTCTAATATCCAAGGTCCTGCTCACGATACGAAGAGAGAGCACTTGGGTTATACTTATAGCTCTCATCTGGGCAAGACAAACATGATTTCATACTTTACTCAATTGGTGATTTGTCCGCCACTCACTCTCCAGCCTGTTCCTCATCTCCTCTTTCAGGATGCTGGCCAGACCCATCCAGTATACA